TTTAATACAAGAATTCAATGGAAAACAGATACAGTAAATAATGTTCAAATCAAAATAAATTTCAATTAATTTTTGTATCATATTATTAGATATGAATGAATGGGATGACAGCCAACACCACAATCACTGTTAAAGTGTGTGCACCGGTATTACGAGCGCCGGTATTAACCTGTTTGGCAGGTATATCAGTAGTGGAGGGACTGTTATGTGTGCCACTACCTGGGCCACTGGAGTGATCAGGATTCTCGTGACCACTACCGGGGTCACTGGGAACGACAGGCATCTGATCAATAGGAGTGTAGTTGTATACACGGCTGATGTCAAAGCCCTTCTCGTCATCCAAACTGCACGGAAGCCACGGCTGACACTCAGCGGTGTTGGGGGCCTCGGGGTTGGGAGTCTGTGACTCGCAGTAGACGTCCGACACATCAATGTCCGCGCCTTTCTTACAATCTTCCTGAAGATACCATAATTTCTCCCAAAATTTCCAATCCATAAATTCTGCCGAAACTTTGCATTTCTCTTTCACCTGTAGTTATGAATACATACCGAAAGTCATCACATGTTTAGGCAATTGATAATTACACGAGTTTTAAAAGTTTGCATAAAGTTTGCGTACAATTTTTGCCTCATTGCACAGTTTCATCAATTGAAAACAGCACAGCCTTGGGTCATGTTTAGGGTAATTTTGCCCCGGGGCAGGGATTGGGTAGGGCGCGAATCGACTCGAAAGACAATCGCCCATCACATCATCAACCATATGCTCGACCTCTTTCACATCATCGCATTGGATGTCCTTCCGTGGAGGCCCATCCGCTTGGAAATATGTCTTTCTCTTACCATACCGTTCCTGTCTTTCGTAAGGCTTTTGCGTATTGTGTTTGGCGTCCACTTCTATAGTGCAGCCAATGATTACCAACACAAGTAGCGCTAGAATTGGCACTGAATTCATGCCAAACATTGGATTCACTGAAACTATAACTCAGAAATGGGTCAACTGTTTAGAAATGGCTATAGATATCAAGTATTTAATGGTCGAAAATCTTTGTATAACTGTAGTCCTAACGGTTTGTGTATTAAAATTCTAACAGAATATCACATATGAAATGAATGGATATATCAATGAAACTTAACAAACGCATTGAATTGTCACAAATTTACAGTTTTAGGCTAAAACTGTAAATTTGTAATAAACCTAAAACTTTTAGCAATCAATTGAATTGAATGTAAAAATGGATTTTCGTTTAATCCTAATTAATGGTTACATAATTTATATGATTTAACATAATATTCAATGGTATAAATTTAGTATATTAATACCGTATTATGCAAATAATAAATTATTCGGGATCATGTTTCCCAGAAAAATTATTTTTGAAAATAATTGCATTTAATTTATCTATCACACATTTATTACAATATTAATTATCAATTACGGTATAAATCCAGAATATGGGATTAATTATTCATTAAATTAACCATTTTTAAAATGAATAGTAAATATTAATTATATATAATTAAATATAATTATTTAAATATTAAATATAATTAATTAATAACCAAGTTTATTCATTTATCATACATTAAGCATTTGCTTACAAAATATTTTTATACCAATTAGTAATTAATTAGTTTTTGACAAATCAAAGCCAATATCGGAATACATAATCAAAAAAACATATTTTATTCAATAAATTACTTATTAATTAATATTAAACTACAAAACAATGCCATCAATGAGTGGATGACAATGCCATCAACGAGTGGATGACAATGCCATCAATGAGTGGATGAGTGAATGGATTTACAACTTCTTCAGCGTCTTCTTAATCAAAGCCATGCGCTGCTTATGGGCTTCGGTGGAGAAGGACTTCTTGTGCTGTCGGTGCGAGTCGTCTACAATGCCATCAATGAGTGGATGAGTGAATGGATTTACAACTTCTTCAGCGTCTTCTTAATCAAAGCCATGCGCTGCTTATGGGCTTCGGTGGAGAAGGACTTCTTGTGCTGTCGGTGCGAGTCGTCGGTGGCGCCAAAGCCCGGGATCCACATCTTCCAGTTCTTCTCGAGCGCCAACTGGACGTCCTTCACGTCCAGAGTCGACGACTTCCGGTGTTTGGCGAACAGCGTCGACGTGTAGACCAACGACTCGATGAACTCGTCGGCGATCGTCAACAGCATGTCCTCCACATCGTCCTCCAGCTGTTCGTTGGGGTCCACCTCTTGGACCAGCTCTTGGAGACGCGTTTTGTCCAGAATTACGACCGGATTCTTGATGGCGGCCGTCGATGACTGGGTCACCGACACGTTCGCCACACCTGTGGTCGCCGTCGACTCGGAGGACATCTTCGCCGCGTCCGCGTCCGGTTGGCTCACGACAGACGGTGTCTGCGGTGTCAACGCCGCTGTCGATGACGACGACTGTGTCTGCAGTGGCGTTGAGGACAGCGTTTGGGACAGCGTTTGGCTCAAGATGTTGGCCGAAGCCATGGCGCCGCCTATGGATCCGTTGCCGGCGATCGTGACGGCCGGGGAGGCCATGAGTTGGGCCGACATTATCGGTGCGGTTGTGGACAGAGTTTGAGACAATGTTTTGGACATTGTTTTGGTCTCAAGATTTCAAACGAGTTTTCGTCACAACTCTGTTGACATTGCGATCACCATTGGGTTGGACCTCACGGAACCGATTATCTCGCGGTTCGACGTGATCTGTGTGGTGAGGGATCAGGTGGACCCGTACGCCGACGAACAGTTGGCTAAGTTCGTCGTTCGCTCGCATATCAAACACCACCCGAATGTCACCGACGATGACCTGCAGCGGGTCCGCGACGCCGACACCGCCGATGTTATCGACAAAGAAAATGCCAGTCAGAGTGAGGACATCATCGAGAATCTGGACATTGAGCCCATTCCTCAGGAGTTGCTTCGCAAGTACATCGTGTACGCGAGGGATAGAGTGCGTCCCAAGTTGGCCAAGTTTGACCAGGATAAGGTGTCCAAGCTATACTCCGAGCTCAGGCGGGAGTCACTGCTGACCGGTTCCATACCGATCACTGTTCGCCACATTGAGAGTATCATCCGGTGCTCGGAATCGCACGCGAGAATGCATTTAAGGGATGCCGTCGGGGATCAGGACGTGAATTTGGCCATTCAAGTGGTGCTCGAGAGCTTCATCGACACCCAGAAGTTCAGTGTCAGGAAATCCATGACTAAAGTAAGTGACAGTCCAGTACTTTATGTGATATGTTTTAGTTTGAGATAATTCATGGCAATTGTTGTGCATTTCAGACGTTTAGCAGATACTTCCAGCGCTCCAACACTGAGCTACTGTTCACGATATTGCGTCAAATGGTTCACGAAGAGCTGTCACTCATGAGGAACCGTACGACTGCCGGCGCTCACATCGAGAAGGTTGAGGTGAATGAGAAGGACTTCGCTGCTAAGGTATGTCCTCAACCGCTATGTCTTAAGTATTGGTTACTAATATCTGATTCACTGATAGACACGACAACTAGACATTCAACACTTGCGAGCCTTTTATGACAGCCGAGCGTTCGCTATACAGAACTACACCTACGATCCCGTCAAGAAAGTCATTGTCCAGAAGTTTTAACCACTTTTACCTCCAATTATCACTGAATTTCTGTTTCTATGATTTAATATTTGAATTGTTTTTGAATTTTCGCACAAATCTTGTGTTTTTGTCGTTCATATCAATATAATTAGCCATTCATTGCACTTAACTATCATTTAATTTGCGATCAGCTCTTAAGTTATGAACAGAAATTGCATTTAATTTGGGACCAAATCAATGGCTAATCGTTTGAATCAATGAAAACTGTGTTTATTACGAATGAATTGAATTGTAATTAAATTAAACAAATAAAACGTTTTTTAAACTAAAAGTATCGCTAAATAGATGACTGAATGGTGTCTTAAGAGGTATTATATGTATGTGTGGCTCGAGTGGAGACACCAATCGTGTGTCAAAGAGGTTCACACGAATGGTAGGACTCGAGTGGCTGAAGACGTGGATCTAATGCATGGCTTTTGCGAACGAATACTGTTTAGCCATAAGAAGGAACAGTTGACTCATACGCGACATCTTGTCCTCCAATTCGGTCAACTCCTCGACCGTTGCCTCCAGTCGTGTGAGTCGAGCGCTGATCTGCTTGTCGTCGACGTACGCATCCATCAACTCCTTCCTCAACGTCTGGATCAGCTCTCGGACCCACTGGTGACCCCTCTGTCGCAGGTCTGCCACCAAGTGGTCGTCTTTGAGCCGTTTGTCGCGACACTCGGCCACCAATTGAGCCATTTTGGCGTCAATGGTATGCAGAGTGGGTCCACTCATGTCTTGAGGCGCTTCAGAGGAATGCAAACTATGGTCGACACAAACACTGAGAAGACAATCGACTTTCGAATCAATACTTTGTATTCAATATTTGCCGCACTTCTCGACCATTGGTTGCCATTCAGTCGCTCTAAAAGGCGTATTCATTGCCGGTATTACGCCACGACTTACGCCTTTATGGCAACACACAGTCAATCGTATCGTAGTGTTCATATACAATGTACGCCAAACAGGGGTTGAGTTCAACACACTTTGAGTGATAAAAAGTTTAATTAATATTTAATTTCAACTAAATTTACAAAACATTTATATGATGACCATGCTCAGTTGACGAATCAAATGAAAGTAAATTAATTGACTTAATATTGAATTAAGTTCACAACAAATGCACACAAGTTGTAACGTTGTCTGTGATGAGCCCAATGGTGATCGCAATGTCAACAGAGTTGTGACGAAAACTCGTTTGAAATCTTGAGACCAAAACAATGTCCAAAACATTGTCTCAAACTCTGTCCACAACCGCACCGATAATGTCGGCCCAACTC